CTCAGTGAAGGATTGTCTATATTAGGTTAGCCTGTGGGCATGTCTGTGGAGATTATCTTAACTGAGAGGGGAAGACCTACCTTGAACTTGGACCAGAAGGGTAGGAGTCAGGAGTGGGCACTCTAGGGCTGGCCAGCCCCATTCCCATCTGAGGGGCTGAGACATGAGTTCCTGCCAGATTTTGCTTTTTGTGAGAAAAGGAACCATGGCTACCAGATCTTCCTATTTTTCAGGAGATGCCAGAAATCTGAATTTCAAGTTGAAGTAAATCAGTCCGTAGCCAAGCAGAGCATTTGAGGGACAGCACGAGCTGCTAGCTTCCATGTGATAGCCAAGACAAAGCTATCTCTTCTAGAGTTCATTCCCATGCTAAGCAAAACCCAGCCTCAGATTGGAGATAGCCTGCAGGCTGCGCTGGGCTGTCAGTGTTACCACATGTCCATCACATGGGGCTCAGGTCACGGTGAGCTGCTGAGTAAGAACCATGGCCCCAGGGCCATCCTGTCTCCCTCCCGTGATGACGCCCATCAGAACTTCCTTTGTTCCCAGGTACAACTGTGCCCTGAACTCAGAGTCAGGAAAGGGTAAGAGGCAGAAGGCACAGACTTAGTTCTCTTCTCAAACTTGTCACCTCACAAGTCAGAGTGGACAACAGTGCATGAAGTCCCAGGTAGAAATTAATTAAAGGGAGCAAGTGACAGTCACTATCAGTGGCTCACTGGAGGAAAGAAACAGGAAGAGAGGGGACCTCACATTGTGGTCCCCAGGAATCCTGCAGTTCCTCCGCTGGCTGTGGCTGCTCTGAGCAGTTGCCTAATTACACCCCTCTTGTGAAGAGTCAAAATTAATTAATTTGGAGAGACCGAGATAAAACTCAAATTCTATGTCTAAAAGTGATATTAAATCAAAAGGAGATGTAAGTTAGAGAGACAAAAATGCTGTTTTACTTAAATGTGAATTTGGTGACTAAAATAAGTAATTAGCCTAAGTCAGTTAGCGGGGAGGCCAGGCAGAGGGAGGAGGGCAGGGAGAAGCTCGGCACAAGTGCCCCCTTGACAGCCGCTCTCTCTTCCAAGGACTTCCAGGCATCCATATAGTCCTTCATAGTCATCTTACGAGGGCAGCAATGGCTCTTCTCTTTGGAACATGTGCTTCAAATTTTATGAATCAGATTAAAATTACTGAATAAACGCCATGAGACAGCAGCTGTGTAAATCCATTAGGAAACAACACAGAGCTCTGCCAGCCAGCAAGATGAACCGACTGCACGGTTCATATTTAATTCCTGGCCTTTTGGATGCAATGATGATGCCCTCCATCACTTGCGGATGCATAAGCGCCCTGCTTGTATTCTTCATGTATTTTTATAGAGCGTCATGAATCGCTTTCATAGTACCCCAGTGCCTCTGGAGCTGGTGTTTTAAGGGCTACATCCTAATTCACCATTTCGACCCGCTCATCTCATCTTCTGAGTTCCAGGTATTTTTGTTAATGTAAGCCATCGCACCTCTCGGATTGTTTACTAGTGGAAAATTCCCCAGAGTGACTCAAAACATACAAAAGTCTTTATTGCTTTTGAAACGTCTTCCCAGGCTTCCTCCTAAATGTCTGGCACAATTTAAACGACACACAAGTGTTGCTCTTGCCACTGGTATTGTCAGTGAAAGGGGCACAGAATGAGTATGTGTGTCGCAGAAGTCGGACAACAGATGCTGTGACCCCACAGACCTGGCCACATCCCCGGTGGTGGAGCCTTGCTACCCTCCAATCTGCTGCCAGAAGCCAACAGGGAACACTGCTATGACCCTGTAGTCAGTAAGAATCTCCTTCCACCCCATGTTGTCTATTGGAATGGAAGGTTCTTTCTCCCTCTCCTGGAGGACCCTGTCCTGAGAACTCCACAGTACTGTATACACTGTTAATTCTCCTCCAATAAAGAGTTTCCCTGGAGGACAATTCTTCTCAGTGCCCCACTCTTGAAGCTGGTACCTCTCATTCCCATTCCTAAAATCTGAAAATACACCAATCCAGCCATCTCCCCCGAAGCAGCCCTGCAGAATCACCAGGCGTTGTATCAGGGTGAAGCCAGGGTTCTGACGTCACATGGACAATCTCAGCTTCCTTACCAAGGGGAGTTAAAATACCAACACAAGCCAATGACAGTCCAGCTGTAGAGAACTAAGTATCAAGTACAGGCCGCAGGCCTTTCCTTCTGAGAAGTCTTGTTCTGTTCTGTTCCAGGAGAACTTTCAAGCTGATGCTAAATATCATTAGGAATTTAGGGCCCAAAAAACCTATTTAATTATGTCAGTAAAATGCAGTAAGGCTACTTTAAGCACACTTCCATGAGAAAAGGAAGGAGCCAGAGCAGGAGAGGGAAAACAGCCTGCTGTGTAGCAGAGGAGAGACTCACTAGACTTTCTAGGTATGGGATGTGGCAGGTGGTTTCCTCACGCCGACCCACTTTTCAGGGCAAAAGGTGTGTAATATACCAAAGACCTCCTTTGTTGACAAAGAGTCTTTTTAAGAACAATGAAAATAAGATAACACTTAAGCTATTTTTAAAGCAAGAGTAAAATAGAATGTTCCAGAATTCCTGAGACATCAAATGTAACTCATGTGAAAGTTACTTTGGGTTTGGGTTTTTGTTTGTTTTGTTTTGTTTTGAGACGGGGTTTCTTTGTGTAGCTTTTGAGCCTGTCCTGGAACTCACTCTGTAGACCAGGCTGGCCTCCAACTCACAGAGATCCCCGCCTGCCTCTGCTGTTGCCATACCTTCCCCTTCATGACCACCTGTGCCCTCCTCAAACCACCAACCCACATAAACCTCCCTTAAGTTGTTTCTTGTCAGGGTTTTGGTCACTGAGAAGAGTAATGAGAAGAGTAACAATGCTCCCTGTCCCTTGGTTTCCCCCTGCCCAACCTTAGGAAGACGCGGTCTACAGGTACCACAGCAGCCCCTGTGTTCTAGGCTGGCAAGAGAAATTGCTTTTAACTTGGAAATGGAGAAACAGGAGCCCATACACTTGCAGCAGCTAAGCAACTGGGAAGGAATTAAACCCAGATTCTGCATCTGAATGACAGTGCAGGCCACTAAGTGACATTTATCCTGTGTTCCTTCTTAAAAACTCTGGTTCTGGCAGCATTTAAATGTGGCTTTGAGTGAAAAATTATCCATTGATCAGATTGCATGTATTCAGTGTCCAATAAGTGTTTGTAAATTAGTGCATTTGTGACATTTCAGGGCAATAAAGACTGTGGTAAATGGAATAAGTCAGTTAATGTATGAGGTGAACATTTTTCTGTCCCTAGAGTAGATTCTGAAATTGTCTCACTATTTGGCTAAGACAACCTCAGTTAAACATGGCCTCTTAAAAACTACTGATTTTAAAGACTTATTTATTTTTATTTTATGTGTATATGTGTTTTGCCTGCATGTATGTCTGCATACCACATATGTGCCTCGTGCCTGAGGAGGCCAAAAGAGGGTATTGGATCCACTGGGATTGGAGTTATAGTCAGCTATGAACCACCATGGGGTGCTAGGAACCTGGGTCCTCCGGAAGAACAGCCAGTACCCCTAACCATTGAGCCATCTATCCCACACCTAAGGGGCTATGCTCTGTGTCTTCTTCATGCAGAGCTGTATATATACTCTCTGCTTGGACTAAACCACACCCTAAGCTGGAAATGTCTGTCCCTTCAGCAGCAGGCTGAGTGTTTTCTCTTCCTGACAAACATTTAAAAACATTCCTGTAACTTTAGTCTTTGAAGTAGGCTGAGTCAGATGAAATCTTCATAATTCTACCCCAAATGAACTTTTAGCACAATAGGGTAGGCGCATTCTTCTCTCCTAGTCCTCTATGGAGAATATAATTTGATTGAACCCCAAGATGATTCTGGGAGTGACACCCTCATGGGGTAGGGCCAGGTTATATAAAAAGCAGGATACATCTGTGCTAAAGACATAGTATCCTATAGCAGAAAGAAATGCAATAGGAAAATGCAACAGGCAGTTGAATGTCCCTGGGAGCAAAGGGTAGAGGCGGCTTTCGCTGGGTCCAGGATGGGAGGTCAGTGAAGAAGCCGCCCTTTCTTTCCCTAGGCAGAGCTCCTGGACCTGGCCATCACTGCCTTGTGGCCTTCTCTGGGGGCAGACTGGCCTCTTCTATAGCTCTTCTTGTCCATATTCCATCAGCCTGGATTCTTCCTCAGGTCTGAGTCTCACCCCAGCTGGTTTATCATCACTCTGACCTGGACATTTGGCCATTTTTCAATTCTCACTATTCACATGTTCACCTTTGCTTCCTCCTTTTACTGTCCCAAAGGAAGCAGGCAAGAAAATGATCAGCCTTCAGGTTCACAGGGCACTTCTCCTAATACCAAGTGCTAGTGCATTGTAAACAAAGAAAGGAAATCAATTCCCCTCTGATGATTTCTGGTAGTGAACCAGTCAGCTTTGCTAATATTTTCATACGCAAATCCAAAACAAGGCTTCCTGGCTGAAAAGGCAGTACCTTCAGATTGGCTTAGTACTTATTTTAAACCACAAAAAACCCTTACTGTATCCAGTGCTCTCTATCATGACACAGCCATGGTACCTAAGTCAATATTCCCTGAGCAGGGATTTTTTTTTCTTAAATAAAATTAAGCAAGTTCTCTTGAAGTATTATTCTGTGGGTTTTATTGCGGCTGTTCCACAAATGTGTGAAAGCCTTCGGACTTTATCTTTCAATTATATTTGATATGCAACACTTGCTTCCAACACCTGTGGAAAAATTTTCAGGACACACCCCCCAAAGAAAGCAGGCTTTCAACTTATTAAATTAGTGCTTTCAATTTCTCATTATCTTTACTTGCTCAGCCAGAGGTATTACAAGTTAATGCTTCTCCTCGGCTCGACCGAAAGTTGAAGCCTAAAGTCATTTTCTGCTTTATTGACTTGAAGGAGGGGAAAAAATTACTCTGAAATTATCCTGGTCATTAGAGAGAGTACTTACAATTTTTTTGCCTTCTATTAACACCGTAGAATTATTTGTTTCAACATTCCGCAGTATGACGCTCCCTTTCCGCTCTCTGTAGATGAATTCTTTATCTACAAGAGGGGAAATAGAAAAGAAACATGAGCCACCCAGAAACCCGCCTCAGAGCTTGATGGCTGTGTGTGAAATGAACTGTGTAGTTCATCTCAGAGAGGGGCCCTTTAAGTGCGGCGCCTACTTCCGGCTCCAGAAGTGTGGCCTCCAGGGAGGCTTGTCTCTGGACAAGCTCCACACAGACCGCAAAGCACTTGTGTGCAGACTGAGTGGATGTAGCACTGTCTTGGGCAAGGCACACAGAGTGGATATACCAAGCAGATGGAGTTTGCTACTGTAGAGGAGTAGACAGCTGGTAGTGAATGTACTGATGGTCTCCTGGATCTGAAATTACCTGAGGCCACACCCTGAAAGCCAACTTCACTCTTGTCAATAAGCTCCTGGTACGACCCAGTTTCCTGCCATGGATATCTTTTGAATCTATCATCAGCTGTGGTGACTCTGGTCTTTTCAAAATTCCAATTGTTCCCTTAGAAAATGGAGAATTAGGGGCTAGGGAGATGCTCAGCGAGTAAAATGCTTGCTTTGAAAGTATAAGGTCCTGAGTTTGAGCCCCGGCAACCACTTAAAAGTGTCAGGAATGGTGGCGCATGCATGTATCTAATCTCAGCACTTGGGTGGCAAAGATGGTGGATCCCTGGGGCTCACTGGCTAGCCAGCCTGTTCGGTGAGCTCCAGGCTAATGAGAGACCCTGTCTCAAATAACAGGGTGGACAATGTGCTCAATCTCTTCTTTCCATACCTATGTACATATATGCCTGCATGTGTACACACACACACACACACACACACACACACACACACACACACACACACACCCTACCCCCATAATAACAAACCACACACTAAATAGTGTGCAAGTGTATGTAAATATACACCTGCAGGCAATGCAAGTGCACTTTCTGAAGGGTGGGACTATGGATAGAAAGGCGGGGCACAGCCTGGAGTGGGGGAAATGAAGATGGGAGGCCTGACTTGGTTGGCTGGTAAAGGCATTTTACACCAAAAGAGTTGGCTGAAAAGCACCACGCAGACTGGACCAATCTGAAAGGGAAGTAGAAGTCAAGTGTGCACAGATATGGGGAGACGGGAGGTGTCCCCATCGCCTGCTCGGTTCCAGTGCAATCCGCTGTGTGCCTTATGTAAATCAGACTTGGGAGTTTAGTGCCGAGGGTACAGACTGACGTGTGGGTGGCACTGTTTTCCTTTGTTGTGCTGACAATACTTCCCGCTACTTGTCACACAATTCCTATTTTTCCCCTGTGGAGCAAACCATGATATTTTTCACCCATTGGCATCATCACAGTGGGGTCAGTCTTACTCCACAAATTCTGAAGTTTCCGCTTAGGAAAGCTCTCAGGAGGCTGCTTGCTCATAGGTTTTATATGAAGTCTGCAAAAAGTGGTCACTACTGATTTTGATACAACCATCTCTCTTCATTTTCTAGCTTTCACAAAGAATGAATTTTAAAAAATGATTACTTTTATAGTGTGTGGTGTGTGTGTGTGTGTGTGTGTGTGTGTGTGTGTGTGTGTGTGTGTACCAGTGAGTTGCCTCATCCTGCATGGCACCACACTGGGACTTGTAAAAGAAATCTTTTTTAAAAATCTGTGCATACTTGCAGGTGTGTGTGTGTGTGTGTGTGTGTGTGTGTGTGTGTGTGTGTGTGTGTGTGCATATGTGTATGTGTGTATTCACGTATGTGAGTTCAGGCATGCATGTGCCACAGTGTGGTGTGGAGGTTAGAGGACAGCCTGGAATATGGGTCTTCACCTTCTACCTTGGTTGAGACAGGGTCTCTGTTATTGCCCGCAGTGTACCCCATGCTAGCCGGCCTGGACCACAGGCTTCAGCTTATGGCTTTCCATTCCTGCCAGCACCTGTGTCTGTTCCTTTGTCAATTCCACCTTCTGATGGTTTCTGTAGATTTCCAGCAAGTCTTGGGGGAAGTGAGTAGAGCCTGAAAATCTGTCCTGCTTTTCCTCAGCTGTCCAGTCTACATCCGTGCTTTTCTGAAAACATTTAAACTTAAAAAAAGCACTTTGGATCAGGACACTATTGCAAAGACTGCACAGTTCATCCTGAGGACTGCTGCTGCCATGGCAATCCTGGTCCCTTTTCTCTTGCTCTCACTTGAGCATTTAAAAAATTTTTTTTTATTGAAGTATACTCACTGTATATAATGATGGGTTTAATAAAGACAATTTCCTTCAATTGTATGTCATACAATCTGACCAGGGATGAAACTGGAGATAATTGTATTGAGGGATAGAAGTCAGACTCAGAAGACAAATGCTCTGGGATTTCTCTCATCTGTGGATTCTAGATTGCAAGCAGACAGGTGAAGCTTTTCACATTAATACACATCAAAGCTGGAGTGGTACCCGGGAAGAAGGGGAGACTAGTGTCCTAGTGACTCCTCTGGTGCTGTGATAACCACTGTTACCAGTGCAGTAAGGGAGGAAAGGGTTTACTACACCTTAGAGATTATAGTCCACTATGAAGGGAGGTCAGGGAAGGAACTCAAGGCAGGAACTTGAAGGCAGGAACTGAAGCAGAGGCTATGGAGGGGTGCTGCTTACTGGCCTGCTCCCCATGGCTTGCTCAGTCTGTTTTCTTATAGAACCCAGGACCACCTTTCTAGGAGTGGTACCTCTCACAGTGACTAGGTCCTTCCACACCAACAATTAGTCAAGAAAATGCCCCATAAATATTGCCACAGTCCAATCATCAGACGGTAAGGTTTACTCTTCCAAAGTGGCTCCTGTTTGTGTCAAGTTGACTAACCAGAACAGTTTATTCCTCTGACCTACAAACAATTTATTTACATCTTCTTAGAGAGTCATGTTGACACTAAAGTCATTTTCAGTAGATGGAATTTGATCATCACCTAATACATCAGTCCCAAATTTTCTGGCATTTTATGGTATTGTAATAGTAACTTAGCTGCTATTTGGTCATTTCTATTGATTCAACATAAAGTTAATTTTCATTATTGCAGCTTTACTCAATGTACTTTTTAGTTCTGGTCCATTGAAAAAAGAAAGATTCCCTAAGAAGGTTTTCACTTCCCAAACCAGGTCGGATAACAAGGTAGAAGTGCGTTTCTGCTCAGGCCTGGTGGGCATCATCAGACTGTTAGGGACAATGCCAAAGAGGCTTTAAGAGGCCTGTTTGCTTTGTTCTTGATGTTAGGTAGGGGGCGGCATTTCACCATCGAGCTTGAGAGTAGCTGTAATTGCTCTCCTAAGCAGACTTTGTAAGTCTGAGTCTGTGATCTGGTATTGCTCAGATGTTGAGAGGTCTCACCTTGAAAGGATGTTGACTATTACAGAATGCTTTTCTGCCAACACTGAAGTCGCCATGGGAGTTTTGGTTAATCCAGTGAGCTGTGTTCTCAGATGCACCCCCCAGGACAAGTCCCACTGCACTGTGCAATGCTGCAGTATGCTGCTTCCCAGAGTCTCAGTTCTAATCCAATGATGCTTGGCTCAGGCTTTGGTATCTAGGATCATGGGAGATACTGGTTAGTTTTGGTCTTCTGTCTGGTTGTGTGGCTCTAGAGTAAGAGCATTATTGGCTTCATAATATGAGCTGGGAAGTATTTGAACCAGTTCTACTTTATGAACAAACGTAGCCTGGATTTGCATATTTTTGTAGTAACATCATCTGGGCCTCAGATTTTCTTTGTGGAAGGTTCAAGATCCCAAACTTAAGTTCTTCAATTGATACAGAGCTATTCACATTTTCTATTTATTCTTAGATCTGTTTTGATAAGGTGAGTTACTCAAGAAAATTCTTCATGTGTATGTAAAAGTTTTTTAAATAGTGTAGCAAGAAGAAAATTTTTTTCCTCATCTATAACAAAAAACAGATGAAAGAGAGAAAAGTGGCCAAATTAATAAAAAAGAGTTTTATTGGAATAAGACTCTTCAGGGAAGAATCAAAGAAATGGGAAAGCTTATGTCTGTAGTCAGAAGGTTTTCTCCAGTCCTGCCTGGTGCTGCAGCCGCTCAGACCTAAGTAAACACATAGAGGCTTATACCAATTACAAATTGCATGGCCATGGCCTATGGCTCAATTTTCTTGCTAGCTAGCTCTTATAACTAAACCCAGCCCATTTCTTTTAATCTATATGTCGCCACGTGTTCCGTGGCTTTACTTGTGTGCCATTACATGCTGCTCCTTGGATGGCGGGAAGTCGACTCCTTCGCCTCTGCCTTTCTTCTTCCTGTCTCTCTCCTGGATTTCCTGCCTGCCTCTAAGCTGCCTTGCCATAGGCCAAACAGCTTTATTTATCAACCAATCAGAGCAACACATATTCACACCATACAGAAAGACACCCCACAGCATATGTCTTTCTATGCTTCAGGCTGATGGAAAGGGGGCAAGGGTGGGAAACAGGATGGGACCAAGGGAGCACAATCACAGTGACAACTGGGCCTCAGTAAGGCCTGTGTGCACCTGTCCTCTCTGCCCCCGAGTCTTTAGTGATAGGGACACCCCCTTTATATGCATGTCAGGGAGGCACTTCTGCAGTGGTCTTAGGACCTGCTTTAGAGCAAGCCAGAGAGGTCCTTGACATCCTGCTTTGGGGAGGACAGGCCAGTGGACTCTTGTTTCTGCTACTGTAGTGACCCTCGGATCCCAGTGTGCTATATTTTGGGGTCTCATGTCTTCAGTCCCAGCAGTATAGACTTTGCTCCCAGTACTATTTAATTATCGTTTTAGGAGGTTGATAGTTTGTGACTTCATAGGGTACAGAACTGCAGCTGTGGCCCTGGAGTTTTCTGGAGAGGGCAATTTGTGTGTTTCTTGTCCTCTAGACTCTGTAGATAGTCACTGATTTCCATCTCAGTATTTGACTTCATGATTCAACCACCTTCTTCTCTATCCTTTTCTGTTTTGTTTACTTTAGCCTTACCATGGTCCGTGATCTTTTTCTGACTTTTTAAGGGTGAGCACTGGGTCTTTGGTATAATATTTTCAACCCTTTCAA